CTATATGTTAGTGCCATCTACATGCTGCCGATAAGGGTGTTGAAATGATAGACAAATACCTATAAACAAACTCATTACTGCAATCAACATTACCAGGCACTGTATAACTAACAAAAAAAACACCAAATTCCATAGCCGTAAATATATACACCTGCACTGAAGAACACAGGGAAAGGACTCCCCATAATAGCTTTCCCATTACACTCAATAGTAACCATATAATTCCCTCTTTTCGGCACCACATACGTAACCGTGTAAGTCCCATCTCCCAAATCCTTCACAACCCCTTCCTGTTCCGTTCCCCCAACTCCCACTCCCGGCGAAACCCTAACCCTAATCACCGCGCCTCCATTCGGGACTTTCCTCCCGTCCGCATCCTTAGTAACAACCACAAACGTAGCTGGTGCACACGCGGTCCCACCAGCAATGCCAGCACCTGCCGCCGTGCACTTCCCGGGGTCAATTGGTCCCACTGGCTTATTAGCCAAATCCTTCTCCGCGTCTTCCTCCTCGGAATCCGAATCGACAGCTTTTTCAGCCTTATCTGATAATACTTTGAATGTCGCGTCGAATGCGGCTTTCGCTGCCGCGGTGTTTTCTGCCTCGCTTTTTAGTTTCGCTTCCTCTGCTTGCTTCATCCATATTGGTTTAGCAGCTGAACTATTGGTGGTGGTGACGGCGGCAGTAGTGGTTGTGGAGTTGTTTCGATCCGTCATCGTAATACCCTAATTTTGCCTGGAGGCGAGAATTTGGGTTTTTTAGGGACCGGTTGGTTATAGCGTTGATGAAAGCAAGGGGAAAGGGAAAGCTACTAGCTGAAACTAAATACTGTTATTTTTATGGCGTTTTAAAAATATTTTTAAAAAAAATTAAAACATTTTTATTTTTTATTTTGGTTTAATATGTTTTTATATTTTTAAATTATTTTCATATTCTAATATCAAAAATAACTTTTAAAAATTTAAAAAAATATTATTTTAATATATTTTAAAATAAAAAATACTTTAAAAAATAATCGTAACCATATTCTTAAACATACCATCTAATTTACACCTTTACACTGTAGTGCTATAACATTTTTTTTTATTTGATGTAAATGGATGCATTTTTATTTTTTAAAGGAAAGAATAATTTTTATTTTTTAAAGAAAAAATAATGTTAACTAAAAATATATAATATTAAATAATAAAAAAATAATGTTAATTTATTAAGTTTGATTTCCAAGTAATTTGATAAAAAAACAAATTTAAAAGAAATTGAAGTTGAATTTTATATTAAATAATAAAATTATATATATATATAAATGATTAAAAAAATAATAATTATAAACTACAAAAAAGCTTAAACTTGTCAAGTCAACTCGTTAACCCATGAGTTAGATTATCATATCAACATAATTAGACTCCAAAAAACTAAAAAGACCTCTTTTAAAAGACCAATATTGAATCATTGGATGGAAAACATAAGTCTAAAAAACAGATGTTAACCTTTTGTCTTGGTGATTTGAATATAAGCATCACCTATAAAAAAAAATCATGTAAATCAATTTTTAATATATTAAATATTAAAAAATTAATTTTAAAAAAATTAATAAAAAAAAGAATTAAATAGAAAAAAAAAAGTAATTAAAAGTAAAAAAAACACACAAGCCTATATGAATTAATCCACTAAACACACGTGTTGGGTTATGACATCAGGATAATCCTATAAAAGAGAAAACAAAAAAGAAACATCAATTATATTTATGAAAAAAAAACCAACATCAACTAGTGAGATAAAAAAATTATGTGAACTCGTACTAATTTACAAAACTCGTGACCCGAGTTATTTGATCAAAAATAAATGAATAAATAAATAAAAAGACGAAGCTTATATCTTAATAAGTTAAATGTCAAAATATAAAATTGAAAAAAATATTAATCATAAAAAAAATATTAAAAATAAAAATAACAATAACAATCAAAAGAATGAAATTTTTTTTAACAAAAAAGAGAAAGAGAGGATGGATAATTTTGAATTGAAAAGAAAAATCAATTTCAAAAAAATAAGGAAAGAAACTAAAAAATATATAATAGATTAAAAATCTTGATTAAATGATGAAATTAAAAATAATTACAAAAAAGGAAAAAAAAGATTAGAAAGCAAATCTGAAAAAACTAAAAATTTAAATCAAAAAATGAAACTGAAAACAAATAAAAAATCTGCTAAAAATCAAAGAATAAAAAATACAAATAAAAAAAATAGAACTAATGCTCAGATATCCCTAACTAGTGGGCTATTCTCAAATTTTAAACCTCAAGTGCAGATTTAAAGGGAGAAAAATATGAAAAAAAAATGCTACAAATACTAAACTTAATAGCCTTTGGTCACATGCACCATCTCCTCGAGAAGGTAACACTAAAAATAATCAAATATTGCGCGCGAGGTTCTAGCTTAGCGGTGGGAGGGGCTTGTCCCGTTCCTCCGCACCTGGATTCGAGTCTTATCGCGCATGTCTGTCACCCTCGCGGTGCCTTACCTGCTCACTGGGCTTGCAGGATGTTCAGTGGGCCGTGGGATTAGTCGTGGTGCACGTAAGCTGGCCCGGACACCTCACGTAAATAAAAAAAAAATCAAATATCATCACATAAAACAATGTTTGACCATCATGGAGCTGTACATACATGGATATATGTAATGTATGCATTGACAATATTTTTCAATAATATTTTTATATATTAAATTACATAATAACCCATACACCTCACATAAAACTTCCAAAAAACTTGAGCACAAGTATAAGAATGCCCCTTAACAGAAAGTATAGAAAATCCAAACCCAATGATATGCACGTAATATGACTACTTATAAAATGACAAAAAAAAAACACGTATGATTGTAAGCTTTAAATAATTTTAAATATAAGGGTTATTTTATCACACATCATAAAATAAAAAAATATTATTACTCTTTTAATTTTTTTTGATAATAAATATAATATTTTAAAATTACTAAATAACTCCCAGTAATATTGTTTTTTGGTTTTGTTTTCAAGGGCAAGATAGATTTTTTATTCTAAAGTTTAAATAAGCCATTCATTTCGTTTGCCTTTTAACTTTGATGCCATGCCTTTCAATAACCTTTAATATTAAATTAGCCTAGAGTGACCTAAAATGGTTACGTGGAGGCCGAATTTAAAAAAATGAAAGGGAAAAAATGCATTATGAAAAGTGTCTTGTGGATCCGTGATATTATTTTTTTAGTTTGTGTTACGCCGTGGGCCATTTTTTTCAAAATGGACATGCAAGCTTTCATTGACATGTTTTTGTATTTTTTTTTAAATATAAATTGAAAAACTTATACAAATATTTTACTCAGTAAATCTATTAAATATCTATATAAATAGACAAAAAAATCATTGATAATAACTATAATTGAAACTAGAAAAAAAAAATCAAAAGATAAACACATATTAAGATATTTAATCTTATTCATCTTTTGGTGTCTATTAAATTTCTTTATTGAAATCAATTTTTATTTACTCATTTAAACAACAATATAAATAAAAACACACATAAAGCTTAATTTATAAAATATAATGTAAGGTTATGCATGATGATTTTTTTAATTTTAAAATATGAAGTTCATGAATATAAGACATAAAAAACAATTTAGACGAATCAAAATAAGATCTTGAAGAATTAAATACACATAAAATATTTTAGAAAAATAAAAAATGCTAAACAATCAAGATAAAAAATTTATAAATGAGGGATATTAACTAAAACAAAAGTTTAAAAAAATATTTTTAAAAATATCAACCTATATTAATTTTTAAAATTCACGAACCAAGTCCTTGGATTAGAAGCGCTATAAATGAAAAAATATGAACCCTAATTCCTAATAAATCAAATATTGAAAGATAAAATAAAGAAAACATCAATCATGTAAAAGGATATAAAACAAACAATTATAATTAAAATAAGGAGGGTGAAAATTGAAACAAAAAATAAATTAGAGGGCAACAAAATATTTGTAAGTGGAGGGTTAAATTGAAAAAAAAATAAAAAAATAAGATCAAAATTAGAAAAATCAATATACTATAAAATTTGATTAAATAATGAAATTAAAAATCAATAAAATTTCATTAAAAAAAGCTAAGGAAAAAACATTAGAAATAAAAGAATAAAGATCAAATTATTAAAACAATACATGACAAATAGTAATGAATGAACTAAATTGAAAATAAATAAATTTTTCATAAAAAATTAATAAATTAAATTAGAAATAAAAAAGACAAGAATTAAAACTAACACAATCAAATATACTTATTGAAGGAGGAAAAAGAAATGAAAAACGAATACAAGCAATAAAATAAGCATCTTTTACCAACATGCCAAAAGTACTTTTATTATTCATTTAGAAATGAAATTACCACAAAAATCTTGAGCAAAAAGTTGTTTTTGTTTTTTTTACGAGAAAGGTTATTTTAGCAATTCTTATGAACAAAAAAATGCAAAAACAACCTGTACCCCTAATGAGGTTTCAAAAGATATTTGTGACCTTGTAAAAATATAAAATTACCCCAGTTTTTTTTAGAGGGGTAAAATAAAAAATATTGTGAATTCACCGTGCACGTCCTCAATTTTTACCGCATGCTTTAAGCTTTTTTTTTTAATATAATTATATTTGAAGAGTGAAAAAAGGAAAATAAATGGCTAGAGGCACACCCATCGTGTCTACGGAGACAATCACTTTTTGTAAAAGGTTGGTTTCAAATGTAAGAAAACATTACATAAATCTTATTTTATATTTATAGTACTCTTAATTACTGTTAAGAAACATAAATTTAGAAAGAGAATAAAAAGTGGACACGATTATAAAATTACTATTTCTGTTTCTCTAACCAGTCCAGCCCAGACAATTAACCCAGCCCAATATCAAGACCAAGCCTAAGCCCATGAAAAAGCCCATCAAAACAAAATATAAATTCTCCAAATGATTTATGTATTTTCAATCTAACCGCTAATGCTTAACTGTTTCACACTTCTTTCTTAAACCCTAACAACTAAATTGGTAAAACCCTGATACCTCTGCAACAATTCACAGGGCAGACAGTCTCACCACGCAAATTTGAACCGTTCACAACCATGGCGACGCCGTCTCATGCTCGAGCGGTTAAGTCGCTCAACAAATCCCCGGGTCTCCATGGCCGCCGTTTTGTTGTAAGGCTTTCGCTCTCTCTCCCCACAACGCACGATCTCAATAATTTTTTTTACTTAGTTTCTTCATCTTTTCGGTTATTAATGTGATTTATTCCTCTGTCTTGATTTTGTTTTTAAATTTTTGTTGTTGCAGTTCAAGACATTCTCACAGAGAATCGAAGAAATTGAAATTGATGTTTATTCAAGTCTTAATAAAATTAAGTCTGCCCCATCAGAGGGGTCCACTTTTCTGCGGGACTGCCTTATCGAATTTAGGGTATGCGACCCCACCTTGTGTTTGCTAGTTTCTTTTTATGTTTTTTTTTTAAAATTTTTTATTTCGGAAGTTTGCTTTTAGAAAGATGAGTGCATTGAGTGGGGAGCTGTGTAATTAGTGGAATTATGATTTTTGTTTTGAAACATTCGTATAGAGAAGCAATTCTACTTATAGTTCGCCTCATCACAATTCAGGAATTAAATACAGCAGAAGATTTCATCTCATTTTACGAGGAGATGATGCCCTTTGTGCAAACATTACCTTTGGTGATATTACACAAAGAAACCATTTTTTCGCAACTTCTTTCTAGATTACAAGTGAAAGCACGACTATCAGTTGAAGCGATTCTCAGGTATAATGCAAACCTGTTTTATTTAATTGTTATGTGTTTTTTCATATATAAAAAGCCTAATTGAAGTTTGTAAATGCTATCAAGGAAAACAAAATGCTTTCAGACTTTTTTTATGAATTTTACCGTGGGTGTTAGATTCTGCCTTCTGGTTGTGGTGTAATTTATCTCAAGGAAGAAAATGCTATCAAATGCATGTTAAGTTTTTTTACTTGGAAATATAGCAATGTTTATTTACTATCTTCTGCATTGGGATTACTGGTGAATTAGTACTAAGGCATTGTTAACAGGTCCAGTAATTATTGGTGAGAAATGTAGGTTGTATGTAGGTGGTGTTATATTGGGGTGTATATGTAGATAGTAATTGTAAAAATAAAAAATATGCGGAATAATGCTTACTGACTTTTACTCAAGTTTTACCTAGCTGGTCATTTCCCGCTAAGTTTTTGATATAAATGTGTGTTTGTAGTCAAAGATACCCACTCTGTAACAGGAAGGAAATTAGCTCATTTGTTGTTGTTCAAAAGAATGGCCTACTTCTTTTCAGAAACAGAAGATGATCAATTATTGAATGGGGCAAACAAGCTTTCTCAGCTTCTCATTTATGGTTGTTCCACATTCCATGCTGTTGTTTAAAATGATTATTTAATCATGCGACCTGCCATTATATCTTTGAGTAATTTGGAAACCAGTTCCATGGAGAAAAGAACTGTCCAAATTCTGATTTTATTTTTATTTCTTTCAACTTTGAGCGTCTTTTCTTCTACTTTATGCAGTCTGAAATAAAATAATCCTTTTTTATGTACAGGTTGATTGCAGCTTTATGTAGAGATCTTCCTGATGACTTTGTCTCGTGAGTTCCTGCCCTTTATTTCTATCTGTCTTTGATTTCCTGTCTTTGATAATCAGAATTAGGCTTCACATATTATGAAACATACAAACCCTTGCAACAAAAAAAAAAGAAAAAGAAAAAAGAAAAGAAACTGGTGAAAAGATGGTCTGATGTTGTACATTAATGAAGGATGCCAAAGCAATTGAACAATACAAACTTAGGTGATGAATTTTCCACCCATCTCTCTTGCACAAGAAACAACAAAAATGCCTTTATTGCGATGTAGTGTTGAGAATGAAGAGGTGCACTATGCATTGGGTAGACAAGGCAAAGGATAAAGTTGGTTATCATGCACTAAGATTTTGTTTAGGTGGAACATCTTAATAGAGAGGAGTGATTGTCTTTTTTCTTTTCTTTTGTGTTTTTTTTTTTGGGGGGGGGGATGGGGGATAGCATTAAAAGATGTATTGAAATCATATATCTATGTCTTCTGCCTTTCGCTCTCCTTTTCGACTACATTTGAAGTCTCTTGTTCTTTCCTCGGGTCAGTAAGTATTTTACACTTTGAAGTTAGGTCCTACTTTGTGTATTTACATTTAATAGTTTCCTATATGCATTAGTTGTGAAAACATCTAGCACTCTTTAATTGATTATATGTAACCAAAATTATGTTGCAGCGTTACTTGATTTGTATGTTTGTGGCTATGATGGTACAAGTTGATTCATCTCTAGTGCTCAGTCCCTGCTTAAACTTTTATCTCTAAGCTCTCTTAGCTTTCTCCCCTCTCTAGATTTCTACCTTTTCGGGTATTTGGATAGCCAAAGAAGGCTTTAACTCTTGGACTGCACTTTGATCATGGCCACTTATCATACTAAATTTTTTTCCTTGTTTGAGTGGAATAGAGCTGCAGATTGCAATATAGATCCCCATTTATTTTGATTGTTTGTTTTGCCTTAGTGGACACCCACTGTTTTCCATCTTTATAAATTGTTTAGTCATGTCTGTTGTATAATTTGTTACATGTGCATGTTTTTTGTCTTCCTAGCTTTCTACCAAGGATTGTTGATTCATGGGTGTCTCTCCTCAAAAGTGGTGCTGATAGGGAGCCAGATATCATCGAGCAGGTCTAGCCTTGGTTTCTCTCTAGTTAATTCGTGAGTTCCATTTTTATAGGACTATCTAGCTTGATATTTATCCCTAAACATTTGATCTTTTTTTTGCAGATTTTCGTGACATGGTCATATATTCTGATGTATTTGCAAAAATCTCTTTTGGAAAACAATAGGCTTGTAGATGTGCTCAAGTGAGTACCATTTTTGCTATTTTGGTTTGTTCTGGTAAATGAAGAGATTGTAGTTGTTTTGCAGGAATTTTTGTTGTTCTGTTGGGCGGATAAAAAACCAATCTTATTGTGAGGAATTTTTGATGCTGAGCATTGACAAATTCTAGGAAACTAGACTGGAGATTTTAAGTGAGTGTGTTTCTTATATGTTTAACCTTATTTTTTGGTAGGCTCACAGTAAAATTAAGATATTATCCTAAGGAGTATGTCCAAGAATTTATGGCAGCAACAACATCATTATTGCTGAGAAATGCTTCTGAGGGGCAGCTTAGGAAAGGTATACCCTACTGTAATTTATTTAAACAGTCCCTTGCAAAGTGTGATTCTCCTGTTTACACATGATGCATTACTGAATTCATTTTTCCATTTTGTTCAAGCGTTATTTTTTATTTTTCACTGAACAAATTGTTCTGTGGCAGATTGTCTGCTTTATATCTTTTGTCACAAACTCAATTAAAGCCTAAAATCCTAGTTCAAGACCAAATACTGTGTAAACTTGTGGAATCTTGGCTGATCTTTTATCATTTTGCAAAATAACAAATCTATGGGCTGAGAACGTGAAATTCTGCTTTCCTATTGCCATTTGGACTTTGGACAATTATGGATGGGCACTGATTATACTTAGAAGCTCAATAAGGAATGAATTGTATATTTATCAGTAGATCAATCTACTTGGGACATGGTGCGATAACTTAATTTTTTGGATAAAAAGTTTTTATTGCATGAGTTTCTGATGTGGTTATGGAGGGTATATGGTAGAGAAGGATGTTTCTGTGTGCTATCTCATCATCTTTTTAATTTTCTCGTTCTTCCTTTGATCCAAACTTGGTTTAGGTAAAGGCTGCGTATAAATGTACTCGTGTTTATGATTTAAAAAGATTGTTGTTTATTTTTGTTTTTTGAGGACAGCTATTGTTTTTTTTTTGTATCTTTATTTTTCTTAACTCTTTTAAAATCTTATTCTTTGTTTAAAAGGAATTGGAAAAAAGAAGAAGTAATTGCATTCTGTTTTTAGGTTCCAGCTCAGCTCATTAGTTATGAGTAAATGAACTCAAATTCTTGGCCTGGTGGTTCTTTGGATTCGTGTTGAATTTGAGTTCCTATTAAACTTAATGATGTAAATATCTATTTACAGGTATTGCAAAGGTCATTCTTGAGGTTGTCAAGAAACCATTACCTGTGAAAAATTATGGAGCCAGCGCTTTGCTTTATTTTGTTATGAGAGGAACCATGTCAAGGCCTTATTCAAGACCGGATCGGGTACTGCTGCAGTTGACAAGCGAAAAAATATTCAGCATTGGTGATGAATGTGATCAAGGCAAGTTCTTACACTAAGACACGGTCTGATATTGATCTTTTATGGCTCTATTTCTTACCATTTTATTGCTTCTTTCTAAACCACTAAGATATAAATTTGAAGTTCTTTGATTTCGAGTTTGTAAAGGTGCGAGAGAAAATAAATCCCCCCCCCCCTAATTGAAATTTATAAGCCATCTTGCACATCATTCATGGAAATCTTGCTTCAATTACCAGCTGATTTGTGTTTTGAGAAAATCAGTCCAGATACCAAAGAGTTATGCTCTATGGTTTATTAAATTACATCACATAGGAAATTTTCTCTCCTGAAGAATTTGACATTACAGTTATTCTTTTCATGTGGTTTCATTCTTGTATGCTTCCCATGTAGTTAAAAATAGCACCAAATGTCTCTGTGCACCTCTAGAAATGTCTCTGCCTCACATTTACCGAGACACAAGAAAAAGCATACTCCGAGGTTAGATGTTACGTGTTTGAATTTGTTCCATCGTGTGCGTGTGCATGTTTATGTATACACAATCTCAGATAGGGGTGAGGATGGTTCAAGGGGCTAGGACTTGTGAGAAAATATTAATGTTTTTTCTTCAATGACAGAAGTCATATTCAGATATCCTCCAAAGTATTCTTCAAAACTCGATGGAGAATCAGATATGCTTAAGGAAAATAAACCAAAACAAAGAAATAGAATAAAGGAGCTCAATGCTTCTGAATATCAGTTAAGGATTAAGGAAACACCCATAGAAGCACCTGAAGCATGGCACTTCAGGGGAGAAGGATACATATCCTATCCCATAACAATTGTCTGGTAGTGTTCTGGTTCCTGAAAGCTCCAGCATTTCTCTCTAATTAAGTACACCAAATGACAGCTTTGGTGGTGCAAAACCATAATCATTTAACTCTTCCCTCCTCCCAAAACCCACAAACAACAAAAAGTCCAATAATCAATTTACCCATTCATTTATGATAATTTTTTTGGGCACCACTGTCCAGATGAAGGCTTGACTTTGGTGGGAACCTTGACTGTGAAATAAAGAATACTTTAGGAATGTCAAAATGGGAATAACATTGGTTCCTTCAGACAGTGATCTGAGGCAATACTAACAATCAATTAACCCGTTCATTTACATCCAAGCCAAAGGAAAAAGGACAATTAATATGGTTTATTTTATTTTAATTTTTTTATATCAAAGCTATATTCTGTAGTAAACTAGTTTTCAGTTTTCTTGTAGGGATCAAAATAATATTGGATTTACAAGAGCAGGATTACACATTTAATTAAAACCATAAGATTGATTTAAAGGTGCTTCTTATGATGGTCATCTTTTTGACTTCTCATCTTTTGATCCAAAGTAGCACAAGTCAGCTGACTCCAAGAGAAAAAAAATTGAAGCATAAGGTTCTGATGGGTTGAGCTGTATGAAGATTGGTTGAAATTTTAAGATACACCCCGATATCTAAACTTTTCATTTAGTGGTAATTCTGACCTGCAATGCATATTCTTCTTCCCGTAATTAATTCTTCTGTGGTAGTTTGATGCTTTGATATTTCTTCATTTTAATGGATGATCTCCTAAACTGGCTGTCCTTTCTTGTGCTCCCGCAAATTTTCTTTTTGTCTGAATGTCACTGATGGGGAATGGAGAAAGACAGCAATGGGAATTAATATTTGACTATTTAGAAACTTTAATTGTCCCCATTTCAATTTGCAGGTTCTAACACTGTTGATGAAGTTCTAACTACAACCCTTCAACGTTTATGCGAGGAGCTAGAACCAAAGGAATTAGATTTTTTGTGGAATAGCCTATATCAGAAAATAGACTACTATGCAATCAATGATCACTTGCCGTATCTAAGTCGCTTTTTGTCACTGCTTATATCAAGCGCCCAAATTAATGATGGCCACAAAGTTTCTGGTAAGTGATAATTTTGGTAAAGGTTATCAATTCCTTAATTGACCCACTAAGTTGTTATTTGCACTTGTTTTCATATAACTCTTGCATTGTGATCCTAAACTGCCTTGATGTTGAACAGATTACCAACCTATGCTTGAATGTGTGAAAAACCTTTTTGAGAGGTTTATCATTCCTTATGTTGCCTTGAAGGGAGAAAACCATTTCTCTGAAGTTATTGATAAGGTTCTACAATTATTGCTATGCACTCTTGATGGGCTCAAGAGTTGCAATGATATGGCTACCATCTCGCATTGTTTGCTGCAATGGGCTCCTGCATTCAAGTTGAGGAATTCAAGGTATTGTCTGTCATGAAATAGTTTAATTTTTTGTGTCAGCCATATAGTCCGTGCTCCTTTTCTACTGGCTTATGTTTGGGCTTGGTTTTCAGCATTTTGACCTTTTTAAGTGAGCTAATGAAGAGAGACCCATGCATACTGTATGAATTCAGAGCTAATATCTTGAGGTAAGATTCATATTTACAGTTGATTTTGGGATGCCCCCAGTTGTCTGTAGTTTGAATGCATAGTCTCTGACATTTTTTATTGGGTTTTCAGTGCGATGAATGATTTAATAGAAACTTCACAGAAAGAGATTGTATTTCTGCTTTTGACTTTCTGTGAGAAACTGCAAATGGATCCTCTTAGATCCAACTTTTTAGATGGTTCACCTGAAGGACGATATTCAAGGATTACAGGTTTTCTGCAACAGACAGTGCGCTTCTGGCTGGCTGTGATTGATAATATCGTTAATGGAAATGGCTCATTTACTCCAATTGAAAGGGGTGAGTTGACTCTGCTGTGGCAAGTTGTCTGCTGCTATCCTTACGTGATGGACCTTCAAGAAACGCCATCCTTGTTAATGGATCTGATAGATGCACTTGATCGGCTTTTTATAATTGAGGCTGGTAAAACTCTTATCTCTATGTTTCAAGCTTAATGAACTTTTAAGTTCCTGCCATGCTTTGCTACATTTGTTTTCAAGAATGGGTTGTATATGTTACACTTGCATTCTATTGAGCCTGACCTTCGTTTGAGTCCTGTACTGAGAGTTTCTTTTTATGTTACTGATCAAATGTCAAAAGTGTGTTTGGTGTGATATTTCTTGTTAAGTATGAATACATTATTTTCCTGATTGAGTTTGTACTTAGTATTATGAGAAGCCTTTTCTCTTTGTTACAAATGGCATATACTGCTCTAAAGATCAAAGGAAGCTTTTTTGATATCATAGTCCTAAATACACATTTTCAACTGCTGGATAAAGCATGTTATCTTTTATCCAAAGGAGGTAATGTAGTAGGCAATATCGTGAAGTTATAAAATATTTTGAAATAAAACTATTAAATGTGATCTCTAAAGCTGTCATTGTTGCTGAGCATACAGATCCAACAAGTTTAGGTAGCTAGGCAGCCACAAAGAATCCCTTGATTCAGTGTCTGTTTTTGCTACAAATTCTGCTTCATGCATGTTTTATTGATCTGTACTGCCCAATCATGCAAGAAAGGTATAATTATGCATGACCCTACATAAGTTAAGACATGAGCTCTAAGGAATCAAATTCATGCTGGTTAGCGGGAGAGATAGTGGAACTGTTAATACCCAGCTGTTTCTTGATTCTTAAAGATAGCAAATTGCTTTTCAGTGTGCATTTTTATCCATTTTCAGCCAGGAAATTGAAGCTAGAATGAGATATGGTTTAAGTTTATGAAATATCGTTGCACATTTTGGGGATGTGGTCACAACTTGCAAACTGCAAGCTCACATGATTAAAAAGTGTTGTTTCAGAAGTATCTTTGTGATTCTTTGCCCAATTACTCCTCATACCAAAGACACCTTACAAGTATAAAAAGTTAAATAAGAAGGTGTAGCCTCGTGAAGAGCATTAAATGGAGGTGGTTGTTAAAATGTTGTAAATAATTGGCATAAAATGCTTGTCAGCTTGTTTCATCATGTAGATTTTCTTTTGCTTGAATCTAGGTTATTTATATTCTTTTCTTTCAGAAAATATTGCAGGTTTTCCTAAACATACTTGGCAAAGCTTAATTGGTGCTTCTTTAAGTTCTCATTACAAATGTGGTAAAAAGTTTGAGCTTGAAGAAACAAGCAAAGTTCTGCGTCTAGCAAAAACATACAAGTCATCCTCGCAAGTATTGTCTGCTGTTGCTGATTATTTGGACCATGTGCATGGGTAGGTTGATTTGTTTGATATTTGTTTTTCTTTTCTTAAGTCACCATTCTACTTGGATCTTGAATACCTATTGTTTGTTTGAAAACTGTGCACTTCTATAACATTTTTCTATCATTAATATTTTAGGTCAACACTGGAAGTAGACACCAGCCATAAAACATATCATCCCGAGTTTGAAGGGAAGAAGGCTGTGGATGCATTTGATGTATTTGCTGATAATTTGTGCAATCCTGACAAGGGGATTCGTGTTCCAACTCTAAGAATTTTGTGTCACTATGAACCTCAAGGTTGTCAAATGTCAGCTATAGACCAGCCACCTGAGAAGAAAATGAAAACAGAATTTTCTGAGACATGCCCTGAGGATAGTCAGAGCATTGATGTATGTATATCTAAGGTCTTGCCACTCATTATTTGACTCCCTACTCTAATTCTCTGGCAACTTCTGTTTGAACTTACAGGTTCTTCAACTTCTTCTCTCGATCGAGGCAACTACACTTTCAATATCTACCAGCAGGAAAGTTGTCCTATTGATCTCTAGAATACAGATGGGGCTTTCTGCTGGAAGAATAGCTGAGGCTTATATACCCATTTTGTTGAGTGGGATGATTGGCATCTTCCATAACCGTTTTAGTTATCAATGGGCTTCGGCATCTGAATGCCTTGCAGTTCTAATTGGCAAGCATGTTGCCCTTGCATGGGACAAATTTGTCTGTTATCTTGAACATTGCCAATCTGTATTTCATATGTTTAATGATAAACCTGGAGGAAGTGCTGAATTGTCTGACCAGTCCAGTGGTATGTGATATGATTCTCTCTTTTATTTTATAAAAGCTTTTTCCCTGTGTTTATTAATCCTTATTTTCCCTTTAAGTAAACACTTGTCCTTAACGGGAAAATCCAGTGGTAAGTAATGTATTTTGTAGCCCAAAATTGTGTTACCCCAAGGCCCATGGGTCTCCCAGTGAACCGAAAAGGAGTTGTATTGATAGATGTTTATCTTAACTCCTGTGTCATACGATGCCCTTGGTTAGGGCTTTCAACTTGTCAACGGTGCAGGTTTTTCCCTTTTCTATTGTCAGTTTCTTTTCAGTTGTCAGAACAGGATTTGCTGGTTCTTTTATAGCTCATATGTTTCTGGGTAATACCCCTGGTGTATTTTATCCTTGATTTGCCTAGTAAAATGGAAAAATAGAAAGTTTTTTTACAATGATAAGACAGGTGATTATTGAGCCTAGTCCTCATGCTAATTTTGTAGCTATGTTATCACTTTGAAAATCTGATAATTCTCTTGCTTGTTCTCAGACTTGGCTGAGTGTTCATTTGTCGCTCCTGTATCTGATAGCACACCATGTGCCACTGTTCTATCTTCATTGCTTCAAACTCTGCAAAAAATTCCCTCTGTTGCTGAATCTCGTTCTCGACAAATAATACCTTTGTTCTTGAAGTTTTTGGGCTACAATAATAATGATCTTGCTAGGTAGGCACATTTTCTTGTTGTTCTCTTGTGTAGGGAGGATCACTGTTTTTGGTTTGGATGACAAATTGCAAACTTCATAACATGATTGTGTCTGCATGTGAATTTGCAAGTGCAGTGTGGGATTATTCAATCCAGTTACTTGCAAAGGTAAGGAGTGGAAGGGCATCCTCAAAGAATGGTTAAACTTGCTGAAACTTATGAGGAACTCTAAGGCCTTCTACCAAAATCAGTTTGTAAAAGATGTTCTGCAAACAAGGTTGGTGCAGTTCTAGGGGATACTTTGTTGTTATACTTGCCTTTTCCTTTTCTTTTTTAATATTGGTTGTTTAAGTTCTTCAAAAACTGCTTGGTTGTTTTTACCAGGCTCATTGATGAAGATGATGTTCATATACAAACAAGTGTCCTAGATTGCCTCTTAACCTGGAAAGATGATTTCTTGCTCCAATATGAGCAACATTTGAGAAACTTGATCAGTTCAAACCATTTAAGAGAAGAACTAATAACATGGAATTTAAGCAGAGAATCTGCAGTCATTGAAGGTGGTCACAGAGCCAATCTTGTGCCTCTTGTTATTCTCCTCCTGATGCCAAAAGTGCGAAAACTGAAGATGCTGGCCTCTCGAAAGGTATGTCCTATTTCAAGAGCTTCCACATTGATCTAGCAACTTTATGGCATCTTCTGATTTTGAATGCGGTCTCTTATATCATTGAATATTGCATATCTTCTCTTTATGCAGCACACAGGTATAAATCAACGAAAGGTGGTTCTTCGGTTCATAGCTCAACTCGATGTTGGCGAGTTAACTCTTTTCTTCATGTCATTATTAAAGCCCTTGCATATTTTACCGGAGGGAGTTGATAGTGCTGCAATTTTTTTTTGGAATTTATGCAAGAGTTCTGTGGATGAATTTCAAACCTCTGATATCTTGAAGCATTTCACCATGGAAAAAATAATGGCCCTTTCTTGGAAGCAGAGGACTGGCTTTCTGCATGTTGTGGAAGATATTCTTGGAGTTTTTGATGAATCACGCATCAGACCTTTTCTGGATCTATTGATGGGATGTGTGGTTCGGTTACTGGGAAGCTGCACTGCAAGTCTTGATGCTGTGAAGGATGCATCTTCTGTAGTCGAAGATAATACTAGTGACAACCAGAAATTGCATGAGAACAACAATGTGATAATAAATCAAGTAGCGGTAATGTTTAAATGTCCTGCTTATAGTGAATTCTTGCTGTTTATGTCAAGATTTTAATTAATTTTGGTTTGGACACTCCTGCTTGTCTTGTTTTTTCACACTAAATGTAAACAGCAGACTGATAGTAAATTATGCACTCACAATTAAGAAAGCTGGAGAAGTGATCCTTTTTATTCATCATTTACTTGTTGATTGCAAAATGGTACCCTGATCTTCCCTTCTCACTCTCCCTTCCATTCTAGATGTTACAACTTGCCTTGCTGTGATTACTGTCATTGTACATTTTCTTGGCACAAACTCACCAAAAAGCTAACTCTATGTCATTAGAAGATCACAATAGTTCTTTTTTTATTTTTAGCATTCAGTTGTCTTTAAATGTATGGTCGTTTATGATTAAAAATTTTTCTATGCGCAGAGAAGCACGACTGTGAAGCAGTTTAAAGATATGCGGTCTTTATGCCTAAGAATTGTTTCCCTTGTTTTGAACAAGTATGATGATCATGATTTTGGCAATGAATTCTGGGAATTGTTCTTCAAATCAGTGAAACCTTTAATTGACAGTTTCAAGCAGGAGGGTTCTAGTAGTGAGAAACCAAGTTCATTGTTTTCATGCTTTTTGGCGATGAGTAGAAGTTCCCATCTTGTACCACTTCTGTTCAGAGAAAAGAATCTTGCTCCTAATATTTTTTCGATATTAACTATCCCAACAGCTACCGAGGCTATTATATCTTGTGTTCTAAAGTTCATTGAGAATCTGTTGAATCTTGAAGATGATTTGGATGATGAAGACAATGCCGCACAAAAACTTCTACTTCTGAACCTTGATGAACTCATCAACAGCTTGCACCATCTCTTCCAAAGTGATAAAGCAACCAAGAGGTATTAATTATGCACTTTAAATAATTTGCATGTATTTGACTATTTTCCCATTCAGGAAGAAATATACGAGAAACTCAAATTAATGGTTAGTTTTGCTTGCCTTGCATTCCGTATTCTTTCATAAAGGATGCTTCCATGCAGCTTAAGTTAAATACATTTTCCAGAACTAGTCTATTCTGCAAGTATTGAGAAACAGCAATGATTAATGATTTGTTTTTTTTTTGTGCGCTCGTGCATGCATAAGTCAATGTGAGATTCACTTTATCATGAAGATAATTCTCAAATAAAATATGTTTCCTTTTGGAATCGGTGTGTTTACCAAGTAATGCTATTTCTTGCCACCTTTGTTGATCTTATTGTGATACATTAATTTCTAGCTTCATGGTCTTTCTATTTGAAAACAGACTGGTTTCATTTTCAAAATGTTTTTGTTTTCTTTCATTTGTGGATCAGTAATAAGATATGCTAGTTAAGTGCTCCTCTTTATCCTCCATTGGCTAGATATCCGGGAGAGATTCAAATTAGAATTTTCAAATTCCTATCGAAGTATATAAAGGATCAATTACCAGCAAGGCAGCTTGTGGATATCTTGCTTTCATCATTAGCATTGAGATATAAAGATTCAGGTGAGAGTATTCCCTAAGTTTTAAGTATTGATTCTATATAACTTCTACCTGGATATTTTATATTATACAAATGGTCATTGCAGATGTTTGCATTGAATATTTGCAAGTAGTTCGGGACATCATTCCAGTTGTAGGAAGTGAGAGTGGTTCAAAAATTCTTAAAGCAGTCTCTCCACTCCTTACTTCTGTTGGACTTGATGTGCGGTTGTCTATTTGTGATCTTCTTGATGTTCTTGCTAAAAGTGATCCTTCTTTCCTCTTTGTGGTAATAATTGTCTTCTGAGTAATTTTCATGCCATTATTACTGCTTGAGGAACTTCTGCTTTCTGCGTTTGAACTCTGATTATATTGACTTAATGCAGGCAAAGCTTCTCCATGAATTGAATGCAACCTCTGCCACTGAGATGGGTGGCCTTGATTATGATACAGTTTTCAAAGCTTATGAAAAAGTTGGTGTTGGTTTATTCTATACTATCCCAGTAGATCAAGCATTAGTTATTTTGTCGCATTGTGTGTATGATATGTCATCAGTTGACATAACTTTAAGGCACAGCGCTTATAGTTCATTGCTCTCATTTGTTGAATTTTCCTCTGCAATTCTTTGTGGAGAAGATCAAAACCAACAAGTGATAACAAACTGTGAAGGTTGTTGGACAAGGGCATCTATTCAGCGCACAATAAATAAGTTTCTTTTGAAATATATGGGCAATGCAATGAAGGCAAGAAGTTCAGTTAGAAAGGTATGATAAGACTTTCAGCCTGGTGGTGTGAATTGGATTCATTTCAACCTGTGCTTTATAATAGAATTTATGTGAACTTATTGGCTCAGCTAGTGGAAAGCAGATCTCCTGTAGAACTATCGAAGCATGGATTTTCATTATCATATTACTTGTTTCATTATTTCAACTGTTCCTTTTTAAATTCTCTTTCTTCCATAAAAAGGTCCTGTTCAAAAATATCATTTTTTTTGGAGAATTGACTATATACTATGACCAGTGACCACCGCTTAACTTGTATATATTTCTAACTTTCCCCTTCATAAAAGTTGGTATTTGAGTCCAAAGATTATTGCGCAGAAATCTAGGCTGGGAGGCAGATCAAAGAAAAATAGAAAACCCATTCTGTCTTTTGAAGGGAAAAATGGAAAGGTGGACTTACAGGATAGAGTGATATTTTTTTTGTATTGTCATGATTGTTGTACTGAATTGGCATCTTCTCAGGAATGGATTGAATTGTTGCGAGATATGGTGTTGAAACTTCCAAAGGTGGCAAAGTTTAGTTCATTCAAAGCTCTGTGCTCTGAAGATGCTGAAGTAGATTTTTTCAATAATATTATTCACTTACAGGTAAATTCTTTTCCCTTATAGGTTGTATACGAGTTACATTTATTAAATGTGACATCATTTTTATCTTTTAATATGTCCGTACGTGTTATAAACTAGCATTTATTTTGAACGCCTTTTTTAATACCCAGTTCATGATTTCAGAAAATGTTGCATTGAGAAATGTTTTATTACCGTAGTTTCTTTTCTTCTATTTAATGCGATGAGAAATGCGTTAATTACTATATCTGTTCTTACCTGTACCAGATTTTTTAATAGTTTTGGGTAATGAAATCACTTTTACACGAGAGCATAGAGAATTTCTGTCTAAAGTCATTTCTCTGTTTCTTCATGAGAGTTACGAGCCTTACAATTTCTTCATTATTGCAGAAGCACATGAGAGCAAGGGCTCTGTTGTGTTTTAAAATTGTCCGTGTCTAAAGTCATATCTTTGTTTCTTCATGAGAGTCAAGTGCCTTACAATTTCTTCATTATTGCAGAAGCGCATGATCGCAAGGGCTCTGTTGCGTTTTAAAACTGTTATCAGTGAAAGTACTGCATCAGAGGTAATTATCTTAATTGCTTATGTTATACTTAAAAATATTTCTCCATGTAACTTAATCTCAGTGTACTTCTGTCTTCCAGGACATCTTAAATAAAATATTTGTCCCTCTTTTCTTCAATATGTTACTTGAAGAACAAGGAGGAAAAGGAGAGCATATCAAATCTGCATGTTTGGAAGCTCTTGCCTCAATTTCTGCTCTCATGGAATGGAAGTCATATTATAACTTACTGATTAGGTGCTTTCAAGAAATGAATGTGCATCTAGACAAGCAGAAGATTTTGTTGCGCCTAATTTGCTCTATCTTGGACCAGTTTCATTTTTCACAAATTTGTTCAAGCCAAGAAGTCAAAGATCCTCCTGACAGCAGTTTAGCTGACACCTCTGATAGTTGTTCTGTGGCTGTATCGCGCAAATGTGTTGATGGTACTTCATCAGCCATGGTACACAAAAATGGTACTTCTATTGGGCTTTCTGAAATACTGGCATGCCTCCATAAAACTGTGCTCCCAAAGATACAAAAATTACTAGACTCTGATTCTGACAAGGTCAATGCAAACATTAGCGTGGCAGCACTAAAAGTTCTAAAGTTGCTTCCGGGGGACACAATCGATTCACAACTTCCAAGTATCATTCATCGCATCGCAAACCAATTAAAAAGTCGGATGGAAAGCATTCGCGATGAAGCTAGGCTTGCTTTGTCCGCTTGTTTAAAAGAACTTGGGCTGGAATATTTGCAGTTCATAGTCAGGGTTCTACGAGCTACCTTGAAGAGAGGATATGAACTCCATGTATTGGGATACAGTCTCAACTTTATCTTGTCAAAGTTTCTATCAGGTCCTGTCTGTGGGAAGCTGGATTATTGTTTGCAAGATCTTCTTTCTGCTGTAGAGAATGACATTCTTGGAGATGTTGCTGAAGAGAAAGAGGTGGAAAAGCTTGCTTCCAAAATGAAAGAAACTAGGAAGCAAAAGTCATTTGAAACCTTGAAAATGATTGCACAAAACATAACATTCAAAACCCACGCTTTGAAACTTCTTTCACCTGTCACAACTCACATGCTGAAGCATCAGACACCAAAGGTGAAACCTAAATTGGAAAGTATGCTAAATCACATAGCGGCTGGCATTGAGCATAATCCATCAGCTGATCAGACTGACCTATTCATTTTCATATATGGCCTCATTGAAGATTGGATCAAAGAAGAAAATAGTTCTTTGAAGAATTCTTCCAGTGCAGTAGCAAAATTACACAGTAGAGGTGATGTGAGTCAGAAAACAGTTTCTTCAGGCCGAGTTGTTGGCACTAAATCAGTGTGCTCACATCTTATTGCTGTGTTTGCTCTTCGATTATTCCAAAACCGTATAAAGAGAGTGAAATTGGATAAAAATGCTGAGCAGCTTTTATCGATGCTGGATCCATTCGTTGAACTGCTAGGCAATTGCTTGAGTTCTAATTATGAAGATATTTTATCAGCTTCCCTTACATGCCTTACTCCACTGGTAAGACTGCCGTTGCCATCCCTTACATCTCAGGCTGATAGAATAAAGGTGACATTGTTGGATATTGCCCAAAGTTCTGTAAACACTAGCAGTCCTTTGATGCAATCATGCCTACGATTGTTAATTGCACTTCTGTGGAGTACTAATGTTACCCTTTCCTCAGAACAATTGCATCTGCTAATTGAATTTCCACTTTTCGTTGATCTGGAAAGAAATCCTTCTTTCATTGCCCTCTCCCTCCTAAAAGCAATTGTGAATCGGAAGCTAGTTGTTCCCCAGATGTATGATTTGGCTATTCGAGTTGCAGAACTGATGGTCACAAGCCAAGTGGAGTCCATTCGTAAGAAATGCAGTCAGATCCTGTTGAAATTCCTACTTCATTACCGTCTTTCAAAGAAAAACTTGCAACAACATTTAGACTTTCTGCTCAATAATTTAAGGCATGTGTCTCTCGGATTCAAATTTTACCCTCGTGTTCTACATCTATCTATTTGTATGTATCTATCTATATTTTTCAAAGAATGACTTGGCTATTATTGCAGCTACGAGCATTCAACTGGAAGAGAAGCTGCACTTGAAATGCTTCATGCAATAATTATCAAATGTGGAAAAATCAATATCGAAGAATTCAATTCTCAAGAAGGATCTCAGAAGAAGTTTTTGGATAAACATGGACAATCTTTATTTATACATTTGGTCCAGTGCTTGGCGAATGATAGTGATAATAAAGTTCGGTTGATGACCGGTGCAGTTATAAAGCTTCTCATTCGACATATAAGCTCAGATGGATTTAATTCCATTATGGACTTCATTCTATCTTGGTACATGGATGAGAAGCAGAACCTGCAAAGTCTTGGTGCTCAGGTAAATTTTTATGGATTTCTTTTTCCTGTTGCAAAATCATGAAAGTTACCTGATGCAGTCAATGAAAGAAGTATTTTGGTCCCACCATTAATGATGTTATTTCATTGATTTAGGATTTATATGTCGTGTAAATACTTGTTTTTGGGTCATGTAATACACAATGTCAGGGTTATATTTTCTTAGGATTTATTTCCTATTTTGATTTGAAATCTTTGGGGTTTTGACATGCTTTGTTTGAGCACACATGTTATGTATTTCGTGGAGACCATTAATTGATGAACAAAAATATCATCAATTCAAATTATTATGTTCTTTTGCATTTGAAGAACCCTAGTTTCTCTTGGAGTAGAAGTGCTTCTTGTGAATATCAAGGGTTTTGCCTAGTGGATTCTAATTTTTTTATCCTACTTATGCTTCTCTCCCTCTGGTTCTACATCATATATTGTGTGATCATGCCTTGTTTTTCACTAAACCTGCATGCGCTGAAGGCAAAAATGATGCTCTAGGAAAATGGAGGGATGTTGCCCCTGCAAATTATGTTTTCTCCCTCAAATTTTGTGCTCTCTGGTTATATTATTTTAACTGATCATAATGAGCGACGTTATACTGTTTATAACAGATTTAGATTCTTGGTTCAAGTGTGTTCCATTTTCTTCAGTATTTTTCTTTGTCTCAGCATGTTCCATTTTCTAACGGGTTCCAAATATTTTTGGGTACAGACCATGGGGTTACCTGTTGAGATTTGTTTAGACATGAAGGAAGAAGTTGAGCGCATGAAGGAAGAAGTGAAGGGCATGAAGGAAGAAGTGAAGGGCATGTCGGATAAAATTGGGGTCTTGACTAGAAAAGCTGAGGCCATGAAGAAGGAAATTGAGGACAAGTCTAAAAGAATTGAGGGCATGAAGGAAGAAGTTAAGAGCATGGAGGAAGAAGTTGAGGTTTTGGCTAAAAAAGACAAGGTTATGAAGGAAGACATTGAGGATAAGAAGAAAAATGTTAAGGACAAGTCTGCAAAAATTGAGGGCGTAGAAAGAAAAATTGAGGTCACAAAGAAAAAAATTGAGGTTTTCAAAAAAAGCTTGGAAAAGTACATTCATAGTGCATTGCCAGTGAGCAAAAAAATCTTGCAGTCTGCTGTAAAAGTTGTTGCTAGTGAGCCTCTACTAGATCATTCTGATGCAGCCATTCCTTTCTGGAAAGAGGCGTATTACTCACTGGTTATGCTAGAGAAGATTCTAAATTGTTTCCATGATCTATGCTTTGAAAGGGACCTTGAGGTATGGAAAAACAAATTCCTCTATTGAGTTGCTTTAGTTGTTTGATCTTTTAGTTTCCATTATTATAGGTTTTTGGTGATGCTGGTAGTGTTTTGCTTCTTTTAAAGCTACTGGGCAATGCTGGTGGTTTTTCCTCTCTATAATTTGCTAACTTCTGTTTCTGGGGTGCATGGGGTTGTGCCCGCTCCTTATTTCCAGGATATATGGGAAGCAATATGTGAGTTGCTCTTGCATCCTCACACATGGCTGCGCAACATTTCAAGTCGTCTTGTTGCTTTTTACTTTGCCAGTGCAAACAAGGCCATCAAGCAAGACCATGAGAAGTCATTGGGAATGTTTTTCCTTATGAGGCCAAGTAGAGTGTTTATGATAGCTGTCTCCCTCTGCTGCCAGCTGGAAACAGAAGTTATTGATGATGCCATGAGCAACCTGATCACTCATAATCTTGCCACTGCAAGTTTTGCGACACATATTTTGATGGGAAGAATGGAATGCATTGATCCTTGTAAATTCTGGTCTGCCCTTGACGAACGTGAACAAGGGCAATTTCTTGAGGCTTTCCAGCTGCTTGATACAAGAAAAGGAAGAGGCATGCTTTTACATGTGATCTCTGGTGTACGTCGCCACAACAATGTGAATCAGTCTGATAATCTTCAGTATTTTCTAGTCTCTAACTTGCTTAAAAAAATGGGAGATATTGCTCTTCTAAAGGATGCTATTCAGGTTGGTCCGGGGAAAAGTTCTATTTGAATTGCTAAGCTTGATTTGGATGCACCTGATATTTGCACCTGCTTGAAATTTCTTTTCTGATTTTAGAGATTTCTTTTGTGCTTTTCTGCCCCTCAAGTAATTGTTTTGAATGTCTAATATTTCACAGATGAAAACTGTCTTCAATTGTTTTAAAGAGTTTGTGGCTCATTTCTCAAAGGAAGAAAAAGAGTTTGCAGCTCACATCAATCAGGATGACTGCCAACATTATGCATATGACATGCTGCTGTCCTTATATAAAGTTTGCGAAGGATTTGCTGGAAAAGTTGTCCCAGGTTAGTTTGATATTTCACATTCTGTTAGCATTTTCTGAGAGCAGAGGTGAATAATGCTGCTGTAGTATTCCCTTAATTGCTGAGAAAAACCTTTAGGTCTAATTTAATCTAGTTTTAGAAAATCATATAAATGTCTTCCAAAAGTCACATGATTCTCCATTTAAGTCAATGTATGATGCTGGTTATTTATCTTCTTATGGTTCTTTATTGGGTATTTATTATCTTGCATTTTATTTTATTTTTAAAAACTGACATGCATTTAATGCCTTTAGCCAAACTTCCATATCCAAGAAGAGTAACCACTGTTACAGAATTGTTTTCATTAGTATCTTTTCCAGTTATTGTTTGAACCTGAAGTCAAAGTATGAACTTGAAACCTTCCGAGTTTTATGACATGTTTGAAGGCCATCTCAAAACTTCTTTGTTCATGTGTTGGACTGTCTATTTTCTCAGCTGTGTACTTGGCACCATAAAGCTGTATTCAGGTTATATTTGGTTGATTGCTAAGCAGTCAGTTTCCATCATTATTATGGAAATAACTGAAAAAAAAAATTATCCTGCTTTTTTGAACTCTATGGCAAATGTATTCTTTTGTTCATAAATTTTTATTATGCCTTTGGGGAATGGGGACTGATATTTTCTCAATTTTTGTTTCTTCTAGAGCCTTCTTTTTAAGGTAGAAAAGCTATAATTGGAAAGTACAACTGTGTTGGAAAGAATATCCATATTTTTACAAATAATCTAACAAATACTTTGAAATGAAAAAAAATTATGGTCTCTCCAAACACTCTTCATATCACCATTGGTGAGATCTATTTACTGCGGGTGTCAATCATGAAGATGTCCGTTTCACCAACAGTGGTGGGTTGTCTGAACTTATCTAACAAGAGAAGAATTTTGTTTGTGTTTCTTTAAATTATAACAATGTGGTGTAGTTGCTTGAACTTATATTCAACTGTGTTGAAATTTCTTTTTTCCTGACTGCCTCGTTTGTATTTCATGATACTTGTCATGGAGATTTGATAAGAATTGGCTGGCTTGTCTTCCAGATAATTTGAAGCAGTTAGCACAAGAGGTTTGTGATCGCATACGAAAAGTTATAGGCATGGAGAATTTTGTACAGGTTTATAGCAACATACGAACGAATATCAAGGTAAGGAGGGAAAAGAGGAAGCGGGAGGGAAAAGTCATGGCTGTTACTAACCCTGTGCGGCATGCCAAGAGGAAGCTACAGGTTGCAGCTAAGAATCGTGCCCACAAGAAAAGGAAGATAATGACAATGAAAATGAAAATGGGAAGATGGATGCGTTAAGAACTGAAGCTCATCTTAAATGGCCACAGCTATGGCATTAGATGGATACCTTGCCCGGGTGTGATGTTTTCTCACTCAAGCCTTGCCTTGGCAGGGCCAAGTTTCCCACCGCTCTTATTTCCGACCGTAGCCGGGCTGTGGCAGGGTTACCTCATCAACCAGTTTTGCTGTAGACATAGAAGAGAGCATAAGGCATCGGAATGGGGAGATTCTTGACAGGATGCTTGGACCGAGTTTTGTGGTTTCTGTCCAGGCTGCAACAGCTTTGTGATCCTCTAGGTGCTCCCTGAAATATTCAATCACTGTAATAAATCTCAATTCGAAAACCTGGCCTTTCCTGGTTCAATGGTATATGTATAACTCTTAAAAGGTGACCTGGAGCTACCGCGTGTCCTATACTTTAGGGCATGTGCCTCTCGAAAGGGTCTCTGAGTCATTGTAAGGATCACAAAAGAAGAAATGAAAGATTCTATAACTAAGGTTTTAGAAGATTGTAAGATACATGGGGTCCCAGTTGGCGGGATGCTATTTTGCTTTTTCTTATTTGCCATTTGATTTCTTTAAATTTCGATTTTTTTTGTTTTAATTTTTTAAATATTTTTGGATCTTGTGTTAAAAATATTTTTTTAAAAATAAAAAAAAATATCTTCATATATTTTTTAACAAAAAAAAATAAAAATAAATTTAACCGTTGTCAACTTCTAACTCTGGCAATGGGCTAGAGATATTGGGCCAAGAAGCTTAGGATCTGCAGTTTATTTCATACAAAACGAGAACAACGAAGGGTATTTGTGTCCGCATGAATATGGAAATAAACACAGAAATATCTGAAGATAAATTGTTTCTCTTTCAATGGCATGGGAAAATTAATGGCAGAGTTACTATTTTAGAATGAATTAATCTTAATCATTATCTCCAAATTAACCAAAAAAAAATGATTTTGTAGATTTTCCTAAATAAAGATTTCCTTAAACAATACCTTCTAATTGTGTTATACGAGGAGACCTATGCTCATTATTTTCCCTGCCGAGCTCCGTATCATACAGCAAGGTCTATGCCAAAACAATTATATTTTTCTTATTTTTGTAAGTTTATTATTTACAAGCTTTCGCCATGGTTTTATTTGTCTCTTTGTATAAGCTGCTATTATTTCTTTATTTACTGTTTTCCTTTGGCAGAACCTACATCATGTTAATTGTCGTCTCCTCATGAGTTAGGTTTTAAACATTAGGTTTAAGGGAAGAACTTACTAACACCAATTAGCACAAGCTATACATCAAAAAATTAATTTTTTAAAAATCATTAATATGCTCTAATCAGCAAATTAAAAAAAAAAAAAAAACAAAAGAAGAAGAAGAAGAAGAGAAACAACGTAAATAATAATTAATTTAAGTTGTAAAATGTTGTTCCAACTCCTCCTTCGAAAGAAAAGCGCAGGACTCGGAGCAGTATTTTTAACAATCCATTGCAAACCCTTAAGCCTCCATTTTCCAACACACACACAAAAAATTAATATTCCTTGCTTTTATTGTTTTCTTTTCCCTCTTTATTGCTTGGATTGTAGGGTAAACCAAAATGAACCACAGAAAAACCTAATAAACAAAGAAAAGAAAAGGAATCATCATCACCATTAAGATAAACCATAATTCCATGCATGTGACAATGGTGATGGGACTTTTTTAGCCCCATCAATGTCTGCAGCGTGCCAAGAAAGTTCAGGTACATTTTGTCATTACCTGTTACACATATTTATTTAATGGGGTGCACGCCAAGATCCTAGGATTGCCTTATGTTGTTACAATCCATGTTAGATAGATCATGTCAACGTCATATGCTGTTTTTTTAATGACTTGAAGGTCTTAGGTTAGAATCAGAACTTTCTTACAGGACCTGGACTCGTCGACACACGTGCAGGATTTTGTATCTAGGTTTTATTAATTCTTTTTGATAATTTGTTTGTGGAAATGCAGGAACCCGAATTTGACACCGATCTTGGCCTGCAAGCAAACATATATTCCGAATATTAGTTGGCTCCAATTCTGTTTTTGATCAATGGGGATATCACCTGACAATGTTCATGGACTTGTCTTGGCTGTTTCTTCAAGCGTTTTTATTGGGTCTAGCTTTATTGTAAAGAAGAAAGGTCTTCTTAAATCTGGGAATAATGGAACCAGAGCAGGCTTGTTTCTTCTTCCTGATTAATATAATTTGTTTTTGAAAGATACTGCGCTTTTCAGTTTGAATTAGAAAATATAATTGAAGCAATATCTTTTTAGTTGATTTTGCTTCCACAATGTGATCAGGGGCAGGAGGGCATTCGTACTTGTGTGAACCTTGGTGGTGGGCTGGAATGATTGTTAGTGAGTTTTATTTCCTTTATTTTGTTGATAGTCTTTGTTTTTTTGATAGAGTTTTGATGATTTATGAACATGAATTGTCATCTGTAACACACATGTATTTTTTTTTTTGCGATTTTGAACTTGCTGCAATTTTCAATAATATTTCTAGCTTTACCAATCAATTCATTAGAAAAGATAGCAGAAAAGGGAGATTGTATGTACTAGCAGTTGATTCCTTAACCCTGGATTACTGATTCTACTGCAACAGAATGAAAGAAAGAAGTTTGAATGGCCTTGCATCCATAATATGATGCCGAAATGTCAAGTTACCCTTAACTTACTGCAAATTGCAAAAGGAGGACAGAAAGATTCCTGCTTTATAAGCTTTGAGAGATGATGATTACAAAGCCTGGGCATTGTGAAGCGTTAGTTTCAAAGTAAAAGGTGGCAGCAACAAAATGCAAGGATACACATGATGATTTATTAGAAGTGTCCAGTGGATCTAATCGATTACTAAGAATGTTCAGGGTAAAGTTGCTGGTTTTGCTGGCGTAACTGTTCTCAGGCTAGCTAGCTACTTCAGTTTCAGGGAGGTAGCTGACTAGTTTCCCTACTTTGTATGTAGTTCGCTATGAGTTCGATTTGCTATTATGGAACTTGGAGGTCAGGCTTTGACCTGGTTATGGGTGGAGAATTAACCATATTCCT